GGGGAGGGCCACATCCCCCCCCAGCAACCAGTCAGCAACCGGGGGGTATTCCCCGTGGCCAACCGTGCCAACTAGGAAGCAGCCATGGTGCTCCCAGAAGTGGCTGCAGCGCTTCATCCGGCACTCCCACTCCCCAGCCGGCGCTTGCAGGCGGGTACTGGTGCTTCCACCCCCGCCCCGGCCCGTCACATAAATAGGAAGCACGGCTTGTCAGGGGGTGCACCAGCTCTCTCAGGGTCACCAATACTGATCGGTCTGCTCCAGGGATTAATACCTTCACAGTATTATCCCACTTTTAAAAAAGGGAGAAAATGGGGCCTCAAACTCCAAGACAGACTTTCTCTTTCCCGGTCCCCGAGGCTCTCCTTTCATATAGCTTTCGCTTGCCTCTCCAGTGAAGGGGGAGGTGGGGGAGCTGTCCCATGGAGATCAGCTTTTCTGGCTCCCAATTCACCTGTGCAGCTCTTGGTATCCCCAAGAGAGAAAAAATAACTCCCCCGCAAAACCAAGAAAACCCAACCCCCCCCAACCAACCAACCAACCAACCAACCAACCAACCAACCAACCAAACCCTTAGTTTAATTGTTCTTATATACCTGGCATGACGTTACCCATGTCTTGTCTAATTAAGGAGTGCCATGCTCCAGCCTCTCTTACTCAATCTGACTGGAGAGTCTACTGCTTCCTTTGGACAATAAGGCCACAAGATTTTACATATTTTGCCCAGATGCATGGCCCCAACTTTCCACGTGCAGAGCACATGGCCAGAACAACAGGGGTTATCTTGTGCAAATATAAAAAAACCACACACATAGAACAACACAATACACAACAACCAAAAGCACACACTTTGTCAAACACAACCCAAGTGTGTGGGTGTTACATAACTATATATTTTTATTTTGTTAAAAGTTGTATGCAATCAATGAAAAGGCAGAGAATGCTAAGCCTGTCCCAGAAATGTGGATTATTTACCCTAACATTTTACCTTGATATATTTATATTTGTATAATTGCATACAGATTGGTTTTTAATGAAAAGAAAAAAACTTCATGAGAGACATTGCATCAAAATAAAAATTAACTCCCTCACCAGCCAGTCAGAAACATCAAGTGGTTCCACTGCTGCTGGGGATAAAATCAAAGTGCAAAGAAAACAGGACCATATGAAAGGGCTTTTGGGAGGGGAATCGTGATATAAATATGAATGGGACAAAGAAGTGACCACATTCTAAGAGACTTTTTTTTTTCTTCTTCTAGACTTCTCATCCTACTTCACTGCCTCCATACTTGACTCATCCTCAGGAAGCAAGTGGTCCCCCTCACAGTGCACCAACGGTATAGCCAGTGTTTATTTATTCTTGCATAAGAGGCAGTAGACATCAGAGGTAGGATGTGAAAGAGCTGTGCTCTAGGTTTTTATGCACATGATTGGAAATTGGGTTATTTAAAAGTTTATTTATCTCTGCTCTGATTCCAAGTCAGAAACAGCATTTTCAAACTTGTTATCTAAAGTTGGCTTATGCTTGGCTTGTTAAAACTGACTTGCTAAGTTCCTAGGGGTATATCCACTGAGGGGTTAATAACCCTAACTGCCACTTTATACACCTAAGTCCAAAATCTTTGTAGATGCCTAAGTGTTTGCAGTGGATATGGGCTATACCATTTAAATCCTAAAGGTGCTAAGTTATTGGTGTCCTAGTTTACCACATATCCTTCCTGCTATAGAGAAAGGCAAAAAATCCCATGGTCAATGCCAAAATGTGGCAATTGGTTTGACCCTGAGTGGAGGAGCAAGACTGTCTAGGATCTGGTGTTGGTTAAGTCTCAGCAACAGCATTGGCACACCTCAGTCAAAATCCTCAGCTTCAGCTACCTATAGCACCCAATGATTAAGGAAGGCAAAACCTCTCTTATGACACCTGTAGCAGGGAGGAGGAGATAAATTATTTCTGCTCTTATTTGCTGACCAACAATGGCCAGAAGCGTGGGACTACCAGATACCGTTCACACTTCCACCTCAACCTGAAGATTATAAACACAAATTCATGCATCAGACATCCTGACTGGAGACTCAGAACTCCCTTTTCTATCCTACCCCTCCATAACTCAAACCTGGCTCCTTTAATACTCTTTTATAACCAAGATGGATGTGAAAATCTGTGGGTGCATCTTTGCATGCGCTTTACTTTGGAGCAGACTAATTAGCTCCAGTAAAGCACCACTGTCTGAACGAGTACTGGTATTCGAGTGCAGTAAACTAATTAACTCCACTGTAAGATAGTATTTTCAGGGTGGGTATTATCTTATGACAGAGTACTTTCCTGTGTTGAAATGCACATGTAGGCACTGCCTGGTTGCACAGATTGCACCTGGTAAGCCCAGCCAGCCAGAGACCTGCTCCACTCTGACTCAAATTGCTACAGTCCTGGGTGCACGTGTAGATGCTGTGCTTGGGAGCAGTTAACTCCGGTGTGAAGTGCTTTGGAGTTTATTGCATCACTGTAATTTCATGCGTAGATACACCCTGTTTTATTCTCTTGCTGCAGATCATGGTCCTCTCTGATTTCTACCTGCTCTTGCGTGAAGAGCTCTTCTCCTCTTCCAACTGGTGCTCTTTGCAGCACACTTCAGCCATTGCTAGTCCTAAATCATCTGTGAGCAATGATTATCCAAAAACTTTAAAACCTCCAATGAAGGAGATTCTACATCTTTCCCTGGCAGTCTATTCTACTACCTCACTGTTCTATCAGTGATTTCATTTTTTCCTGATATCTAATCTAAACCTACTTTGCTGAGATTTCAAGGTTCTTAAGCATCCTGTCCTCTGCATTCAAAGGGTTAAAACATTGTTTCCCCTCTTGTTTATGGCCGCCCTTCAGATATTTGAAGACTGCTATCAGGTCTTGGAAATTGGGCCTACGAACTGTCTGATGGAAGGGGCAGGGATGCATGGCTGCTAGTCCCTTCAATATCCTGCAGCAGCAATAGGGTCACATAAGCTATTACAGCTTGGTCTAAGCTTTTAAACCTTCACTTTGTATGTGCTTAGGGCTGAGTATAGAACCAGTATTCGAGGGATTCCAAATAAAATATTTCCTCATTGGAAAATGTGGTTTAGTTGAAAAAAAAAATCCTTCTTGGGAAAGACGGATGTTGATGGAATCGTTTATCTGTAAAACCCAAACCAGACTCTATAAAGCACTTACATGTCTATGGATGAAAACCACTGAATGGGTCTGATTCAAATGCCATTGAAATCAATAAAAATACACCATATGGTCCTGTACTTGTCATACATTGGCAATATAATAATTTACATTGGGTGCATACACTGATGCAAATTGCACTGGGACCCAGAAGGGAAAAGTGCTAATTTATCCAGGGGGAAGTTGCCGCAGTAGGTACTATTAGCATGCTCCACCACTAGGTGGCAAGAGCGCAGGTAATATGCATCGAGCAAAGGATTACCCCAGGATAACTGCAGACAAAAGTCACTTCTATCTTTTTAAGTTGCATGGATTTATTGTTACTGGTGTTTTTTTCCCCTGGGGCTACTTACATTGTCTTTTAATAAGTTACAGCTGTATAGGTCTGCATATAGTGTGTCTGCTCCCTTTTAACAGTTGTTCAAGAAGTGATTTACACTGGTATAACTATGTTGTATATCCAGGACCTGTAAGATATAAATGTCTATTGTAAATGTTATTATTATTTTATGATCTGACATATGTTCACTTATCCTTGAGAAAAATTGCTTAACTTTTTTGAGAACATAGGCCATAGGACTAGAAGGGACCTTTCTTTATCTTAGTGGAAGTGTCTTTATGTGTTATTACTGTGCATGAATGAACTCTGGAGGTTATTGATCTGGAGTTGTTTGCTCCTGGGCACACCATTTGATTGTATGCCCAGGAATAATTAACTCGAGCAATAAGCTCCAAAGTTTATTCATGTGCAGCACATGGAACCAGGTTGGAGCTGCCCTGGCTGGCAGGGGGTCCCAGGAGTCAGCCTGCCAGTCCAGGGATGCTCCCTCCTGGCTCTACATGCACTGCTATAGAGTTTTTTACTCTGCAGCAGGATAATACTTGTATTTACTAGTAGTTTACTCCAGCCTAATAGGGATGCACATGTAGACACTGAAATGTTTATTGCATGGCTAATCAGCATGGATCTTGGTTTTCCCTGATTTAAAAAAAAAATCCCAAATTTTCTATTAAAAAAAAAAGTAACCCCAAATCCACATTTTTCCATGATTAAAACATAAAATGAAACACCACTATATATATATATAAATAAATAAATAAATGGGGAATTCTTTTAAATCAGAGAAAACCAGGATCCACGCTGATTAACAAAGCAGTAAACATATATATATATTAGTGGTGCTTCCTTTAAATCATGGAAAAATGTGAATTTGGGGTTACTTTTTTAACAGAAAATTTGCGATTTTTTTTAAATCAGAGAAAACCAGGATTCCTGATAATCAGCCAACTGTGCAGTAAACATCTCATGTAGATGCTTCCTAAACTGAAAAATGATGATAATAGTATTTAACTGCTTCCACAAAGGAGTTGTGAAGCTGAATTAATTAATATTAGAAGAACCTTGGAATCCATTGGAAGACATGTAAAAATCCTAATGCTTCCTGTCTAATTACTGGCATTACTATTATTATTATTATTATTATTATTATTATTATTATTAAAGCTTAACCCTTTCCTTACTATTGTCAGACTTTACCTGTTCATTCTAAGTAAAACATTGATATATTTTTTTTACTTTATTATATATACTTGTAATTACAGCTATTTGCCAACGTGTCAGGCTCTTTGGATGACCAAGGAATATGCCAGTGCTCTGTGTACCTGCCAGATACTACATTTCCTGTGCAGAAGGTTGAAAAATTGGAAATCATAGCCCAAACCCTGTCTCAGAAATTTGACAGTGAACTGTCTAAAGTAAGGTGTTCTTTTAATGTACTTACCAGTCATAGTTTAAGGGAAAAATGGGTAATCATAAGAATACAGCAGTCAGCAGTATTTGGTACTTTTCAGAAAAGGGTTATATAAGATTGCAAGGTGATTAAGTGTAAAATATTCATCCTTATACCATGGAATTGGTTCTTTGCAACACCATATTGTATGCACAATACTTGTTTGTTTGTGATTACTATATGCCATCTGATAGAAAGCCAGAAGCCCTGCACCCTATGTGTTGTTATTTGTACATAGCCAGCTTAGGGGAGGGAAGAAGGAAAAAGAGGGCAATGGTCAATTCAGGCCAGACTAAAGAAATGGGTAAAAATACATTTCCTGTCTCCTCCATAGTCTTAACAGGTGAAAAAGTCAGATATTTCAACATCTGAAGGCCGAGCAATGAGATGACCATGTTATGCATTTTAGTTCAAGATAAACTCCTTAGCCTCATTCTACTTGGGTTCCTTGGTACAAGCATTCAAATCCCACAGACCCAGGTAAACCCACAAATAGCTCAATGGCTGAAGTACCCCGAGTGAAACAGCTTGTGATTATAAGAATTTGCATTTGATTTTTGTTGGGAGAGAAATTCAGAGCTTAAATTACATGTCCAGGAGAAAGTGTTTGCTCCAGTAACCAGGCATCTTAAGAAATGAAGTGTCCATGAGTTAATCAGAAGACAAAGGCACAGCACTACATTATAAATTCTAACCATAAATATTCATAACTCTCTTCTGGTTAATCAAGAACAGATAAGTTATGCATAAAAAACACAACAGGAGGCAGCAGGATCTGACAAAAATATATTTTCAATTAAAATAATTTGCTTTGAAATAACTGAAGCTAACACACCTTCATTGACACACATTCAGTTGTCAGTAGAGATATGAAGAGCAATTTGACAGAAAGCTCAGTGCCTCTGAATGACAGGATCACTTTAGCAGGA